AGAGAGAGAGAGACAGACAGACAGACAGACAGAGAGAGAGAGACAGACAGACAGACAGAGACAGAGACCACCAAACAGACTAAACAATTGAATGACTGCCCAAAAACAGATAACGAGATAGACTGACCGACAGACTAACAGACAGACAAACAAACAAACATACAGACAAACATAGAGAGTCCAACAGAAACACACCGAAAGACGGACAGACCGACGGCTAGATGGACATGCCACGCCACCACCGGATGCGACAAGATAAAAAAACAAAAATAAAAACAATAACAATAAGAATAAAAATAAGAACAACGGATAGAAAAAGGCCGTTGGACGGCGGGACGCGACAAGATAAAAAACAAGAATAAAAACGAGAATAAAACTGAGAACGACGACGACGACGACGAATAGAAGAAGACCGATAGAAGCCTCTCACCAGCGGCGGGCTCACCGGCTAAGTCCTGTGGGTGCCCGTACTTTCGCACCTGCCACCAGTTGTGATCGTCCTTGCTGATGATCTGCAGTATCTCGCCGCGCGTGAACGCGATGCCGGCCTGTGGACACGGTATGAGGTCGTCGACGGCCGGGTCGTAGTCGAACTGCGTCCGCACGAAGATCTGTCGACAGGTGGCGTAGCGTGGTATACTTACCCCCCGTGGAAAGTGGCCCCCCTTCTCTCTACACCGCGCATGTGCAGATGCGAGTATGGTATACATCCTCCCCGTGACAAGTGTCCCCCCCCTCTCTCTCTACACCGCGCATGTGCAATGAAGGTGCGAGTATGGTATGCAATCGTTTACTATGGTGTGCTTATACAGGGAGTACTTTTGCAAATGCTATCGTTTACTATGGTGTGCTTATACAGGGAGTACTTTTGCAAATGCTATCGTTTACTATGGTGTGCTAATATCGCAGTTGATTGGCTCTTGACAAAAATTGGTTAGATCTAAATACGCGTAAGACATCGTTTCTATGATTGGTGTTGGTTAGTAGGTTTCAGAGTGAAGTAGAAGTGTAAGATTAGAGTAGACGCGAGAAAGTATATGAGATATCAGCACTGAATAAGATACGGCTAGCTTATACGATAAGAATCAAAGGAACCAGCGAAACACCATCAAGTATTCTAGATATTATTAAGATTACTTAGGTGTAAATGTGAGTAACAATCACTGCTATTATCAAGGTTCGTGAAAAGTCAAGCATATGATATATATATATATTAATATATATATATTATATATGTATATATACGTTTAACGTATAAGACTTAGCACATGTATGCTTGCACAAGTCTATACGAAAAGAAACGTATCGTGATCCCTCTAGAAAACACAAACCACTGGCCAAAATCGTCATGCAAGCCACTAAAGGGTGCATGATGTGAATTAAGTGTGTATAAGTGATCTCTAAAGCCCGGGTGCTATACGCGTGCAGTGTTGTGAGTATGGAACTCGATCATAGAAAACTAAAGAAGGTAGAGAGTGTGAAATGATAGCAGGCAAGAATAGCACATGAACAATTAATCACACAGAACAAGAGCAAAATCAAAACGATAATGAACACAGAAAAGAATAAAGTTAGCACATGTATACAAAGATTTATTTAACACCACTGATAATTAACACCTAAAGAATGCATACACTGGCAAGAGAAGGTAATATAATATTCATGTCACTATTTCTAACCGATTATCAGCATATGCATGAAACCACAACTGAAATGGTCAGTGATTCATGGTATATATATATGTTGTAGTGACACCACCTGAAGAGGCCACTGTCAATGAGGTGTGACTCTCTCTGAGTCTGACATTCTATATGTAATACCGTTTATGATACCTCAAGAACTGTGTTATTTGTAGTAACATCTCACGCGCCTAAAAGCCAAAGAACTGCATACTTTCACATTAGTCATGCTACTTGGGGAATGCCATATATGCGAGTTTTATTTGCGAGTTTTATTGCGTATAGCTGTCGTTTTGACACTAGAGATAGCGCCACAGTAAACGTTATATTAACCCGTTATATAGATATATGGGAACCTCAGATTGGCTATAATCTGCTGTGTAGCGACCATATAGATTTACACTGGCCATTATTATTATTATTA